AAAAAGCTTGTGAAATGGCAACATAGAAAAAATACCGTTTTTTTATATATATATTTTTTTTTAAGACAGACATTAAGGTGCCTCACCAAAAAAATTTTATGTTCTTTATATATTCATTTATAGGATATGTAACTATATGTACACAAATTCGTCCTTATGCTACTAAGAATTAAAAAAAGCACAGAAAATTAAACAAAATTATAATTAAAATGTTTTCTAAAGCATTGCTTAAGAAATCGAATCTGCTGATAAGTAAATTGTTTTTATGTGCTTACATTTTATTACCATATTAGTCTCTACTAGCTACAATAATTTTTCTTCTTTAAATACATTTTTTTTTAATGTTTCCGGAGCATTTTATTTTTTAGTTTAATTTAGCTTAAAGTTAATACGCTGTAGGAATTAAAATTGCATTTCAAATAAGAAATTTGTACAATTTTAGAAACTTATTTTCCATTAATTTTCTAATAAATAAATACTAAAAAATATTTATTAAAAAGTATCTATTAAAATAAAGCTTGTGTTTCTCTTCTTTTGCACCTTAGTGTTTATACATACATATGTATGCACGTGTGTGCATAGAAACACATGTGTATATGCATGTACATATGTATGCCAAAGAGTGCAGCTGGCACTTTCGGAAAATGTACTTACATACTTACAAACACGCATTGTTTCTTAGCTTCATTAGAAATTCAAATGCGTGTGCACGCCATAGCAGACAACAATAAAAACATATCAAAAATATGTGTACAAAAAAAAAAAAAACAAAATACAAAAACATTCAGACTACGAAAGTGCATAAGAACTAAGGAAATAAATATGTACATATATCGAAAATTAAATGAGAAAATAGATAGTGCCCAGAAAGAGAGACAGAAAAAGATGCATCCCAGTGGGAAAATGTAATGTAGGATAATCTTGAAAAATAATCAGTAAAATAATCGTTTTCACATTCGAAATCGCCTATTTTCCCCCACGGCGATGCCCTAAGAAGAGTGGGACATTCAATTTTGCATTACCCAGTGCCTAATGTATGCGATTTGATATGATTTTTTTTTGGACTTTTTGGATACATTAAAATGCCGATTACATATTAATCTGTAATAGAATCTAAAATTCATAAGAAAAGCAACAAATTATTTATCACGCATGTAACGCACTACTACTTTTCCCACTGGGACTTGTTGCGGGAAAGCGCAGCATACAAACAGACACATAAATAATTTAATGCACACAAATAAATATGTATTCACAAAAAATAATAGCTTCACGCTTAAAATGCAATGGTACCAACCTGTTAGACGGCGCTGAGTTGCAATGGCTTGGCTGACTGGCTGACTGGCTGGCTGACGGGCTCACTGACTGACTTGACTTGACTTGGTGGCTTCGCAATAATGTGTCGGTTGATAAATTATGTAAACTGGCAGGCTGTTGGCGCGATGTGAATGCAAACTGCAATTAAGCGAATAAATTGTTGGAATATTTTCGGTACAAAACGGTGGTGCATACAGCGGCGACCGAATAAACAAACAACTGTTCGATTATTGCAATAAATGTATTGCGCGCTTTGTCGCTGTTGCACAAAGAACAAGAAAATCACACACACACACACACACAACAACAAACGAAAGTTCACAATAACAATGTCTCGAGACGCCGCTGAATTTTTAACCGGTCAAATAAATACAGATAGGCTGCGTGCTGGGGCACCGAGACTTATTTAGGGGCGAGCACAACTGGTTTGTCTGAGTTGCAAAGGAATTCTGAAAGGGTTATCAGCGGCGTCCCGGATGTATAGCCAGCCACACTGGCGGAGTGCTGGCGGAGAGTACAATGACGAGCGTATTAAACTTGGTCGTTAGTACATATGTATGTATGTATGTATGTATGTGTGGCGATCTATTTGTACATATGTATGTAGGTAACCAACCATCCGTCAAGTTGTTTATTTTTGTAAATTTTTATTTTGTTTGCCACGCTGTCTTGTCTGTCTGCCAACAATTTGTGTGTACTTTTCGAATGCCTCTGGGTTGCGTGGCTGCGTCGTAATCTGTTGTGCTTATCTTAACAGCAGCATTGTTATTGTTTTTGTTGTGAGCGATAAATTTATTTAGTTGGCGTTGTTGTGTTGCCGGCTTTGGCTAACACCTAGCAATTATGGCAATGCGGGGGGGGGGGGGGGGGGGGTATGCAGATTTTAAAACACAATTTATACGCTTCCATACATACAAACATACATACATATATGTAAATAAGTACAAACATTTGTGTGTAACATATAAATATGAATAATAAAGAGTAATTGCGCGCGGGAGGGTGAGAGGGGGCGCTTGGGGGTGGGGCCGGCTCCTCACCTTAATTCGTGCAATCTCCAGTTGGAAGCGTGCAGCTCAACAACTAGCCGACCGTGTTTAACTGCGATTCAACGTGATAGCGCTTGCTTTGTTTAACGGTAATAAGCGTGTAGTTTCACCACTTGTTTATTGGCATAATTTTTTTTTTTTTGTAACAATGACTGGCTAATCGTTTGTTTTTAATAAATCTTTATTATTTATTTACTTTTCTACATTCTAGATACATATGCACACCTTTTAGAGCGCGATTAGTTTTTTTTTTTTTTAAGTGTATTTTTAACTCCTATTCAAGTGCTAATCATAGCTTTGCAGTTTGAGTTATTGTACAACGCTGGTGTCACTTTTCGTAATACTTTTTGAAAGCGTAACATACTCATGTACTTAGTACATACATACATATATGTATATATTTCTCAATGCACTTGCACTTCACTGTCTCAGCTGCTGAATTTTTTTTTACTATTTTTTTAATCAGAATTTGTTTGCATTCGCTCTCTAACTTATCGTTTTTTATTTACTTTATCACTTAACTTTACTCGCTTTATGCAACAGCCTCCAAAAATTTATGCTGTTGCCCCAATGAAAGCATCGCTGCTGACTGTTTACCGTCAACGCTTACCAAATGCCGCCTGGTCGCTTGGCCGCTTTCTGGTTGCCGTTGCTGTTACTTCCGTCTCTGCTGCTGCTGTTGTTGTTGTTGTTGATGTTGCTGCTGCTACTGTTAGCTGTTATTGTCTCTTCACGGCCGGTTTCTTGCTGCTGTTAGCCAGCAAATTTTGCCCGTACAACGCGTCTGTTAATGCTTTTACCTGTACCTAAGTGGCGCGAGAGCGCTTTTGTACTCGAATACAGAGGTACATACATACATACATTGGATTTTGCTACTAGAGTGAGCGAGCTTTTATTTCTACTTATCTGTGGACATACCAACCAAATAGGGTGGATAAAAAACACTAATGGTTGAAGCCAGTTAATTTTCTTTAGGTTATTAAAGTTAAAAAATAATTATCGATTTTTTGATCGCTATTTGTAAATATTTCCAAACGTATTCGCTATAGCGCCGGTAAGGATCATTAGATAGAATTCGTTTCTAAAAGTCGCCACCAGCATCAATCCACATTTTTTGAGATTACTTTGCAGTTTAATTGAGGCAGATATTCTGAAAGCTCAAGCTGATGAAATAGTGGCACCTGTGCTGACAATGCTCGACATAACAGCAACTGGCTCCTGCTTATGATTATCGACCGCTTCGTGCTTACCCTCGACGTCCAATATCGGAAGACCATTCAGCTTCAGTAGGCTTTTACAGCTAACATATGTAGGTGATGCCCACTTGGTTTCAGCGGGGGTCCAACGACTTTTCGAACGAACGAATTCAGCAACATCAGCGCTTGCAGATAGAGAACCCCCAATTTTTGCAGCTGCGCCACCTTGCATTTGTGTACATATATGAAAATTACTAAAATATTCGAATCTATCACGAGAAGGTAATGAGGTATGTGGTCACATTAAAATTAATTAAATTTCAATCTGAAGTGCGTATAAAAAATATCGTTTTATTTAGTTCAGAACTTTCAGAAAAAAAAAACAAAAAAACAAAAAAAAAACGGAGTGGTCGAAAAAAGATCCAAAGCCGCAAATCCAAATAAAATTTTGAAACCGCTCTATTCCATTTTGTGAAAAGTGCCTTAAAATTAAAACTAGTTACACATTATTTTCTAAATATTCAATCAATAGCATCACATTTTTTCGTTTAACATTACCTTAAAAAAAATTTTAAGGTTTTCTTATTTGTTTTATTTAAAGGTTCTTGAAAAATCAACTAAATGATTACCCAGAGGTTTCCAGTTCAAAACCTCGAGCTCATGCGAAACACAAGCGAAAGTATTTTTTTGTGGCACCCCAGTGGAATATTAACTCTTTAGGTAGAAGCTTTCTACATATAAACGAAATATGAGAAAAGCTCTCCCATTAGCTGCTGTCGATAAAGTGTTTAAATGCGAGTATATGCGCTTTTTGTATTAAGTTCATAGAAATCATGAAAACTTATCGTGAACATTTACGAATTTGCAGAAGTTGGAGGGAGTCTTCCTATGGAGTCATATGAATTACATGCACTTATAAAAGCACACAAATTTGCATGTGTATTAGGTACGCCTGAGAGTATGCAATTTTCAAAAACACTTTCTGTTTGGAGGCTTTTTTAGCTGATCTTCGAATATCACTGACCTTCGTAGTCGTATGAGAAAATAAAGAAAACAAATACATTAGGCATATCTGATGTCAATTTAAATTTATACTGCGTTATTTGTAAATAAAGTCCTTTTATCTAGGAAACTTACAGCTGATTCTTCTTCCTTCTCTAAGCTGGAACTAATGGCAATGCCATCTGCTAATCAGATTAGCAGCTCGTATTACACTTTCAAAAACCAGCTGCACAACGGTGAGTTGCCACCTTTTGTCTCGAATGGAGCGAAGAGGTCCTCGGTATTTTGGAAAGTTTTGTTCAGTCCCTATTAATTATGCGGTTATCCGAATTCTCATTTTTGGTGCTCTCAAACGACGCTTTCAAAAAATTACAATAAATGTGGTGCGTGCCGGTTTGGTTCTTTGCCAAAATGGACTGTGGCCAGAGGAGGATTTACTAGGTCTGAAGCCAACTTTTGTTTGCAGTTTTTCACACAGTTTGCCGATAGGATATCATGAGCAATGTTGAAAAATTGTAAACCATTGTAATTAGCGCAAACGGTTGGATCTCCATTCTCGTCTTGTGAATCTTGTGGAAGTGCCTTAATATACCTGTATTCGGGCATGTATTCGTTATACCAAATTGCGTCAGATGGTACCTGCGCCCAACTAGATTTTTACGCTGGATTTGACCGGCTCAACCGGTATCCGGTGGCTTGAGGGGAATTGGTTATTTCTGGTCTCGCCTCATCTTGGTATGGTGGAAATGCCTAAGTTTCATGCGTATATTAGTCAGGATTCTTCTTCGACCAATGCAGTGTCTGTGTCGCTAATGAAAAGTGATCTTTCCATATCTCAAGTGTCCTTTCGAAGTCTATGTCTGCAAAGCCTATCAAATTTTCACAGAAAATTTTCGGCCCACAGTGCCGCATGTCAGCATTTAAAACTTCTCGAATTCACATACATTTATGTATATTTTCTTTCTCTTTAACATTTATCTTCTCACCAATCTTTCCCCGATATCACTCAACTGTAGCTGTAGCGTATCTATTGGCTGTAGAGTGGCTTTGTATGTTGTTGAAGTGGAGAAAACAAAGCCGCCGTAGCGGGCAGTACCGTTGAAGGCCGATCACCTGAATTGAGCAACGCCTGAAAGTCAAGTGGGCTTAATTTGCGGTAAGATTTGTGCCTGGTAAAATGTAGTCCTCTTTCCGTAATTTAGAGTCATTACCATTAGGAGGCGTTATTATTATACATTTACATATATATGTAGTCAATTTCTCTGCGACGGACACCATTCTGCAGCCGAGCCTACTATTTAATATATTTCGCATAAATACTTAAAAATAACGGGTGATCCATGTATACCTTTTATCATTTTAAATAAAACATTTTAAAGAGAACTCGATATCCCGGAGTCTTTATTAGGTTTGTTCCACCAGCTTATAAATTTTGTAGTTTATTTGATATACGCTGACAGTTTGAAGTTTGCTCGAGTTTTTCTACAAGTAGCTTGTGGGACAAACCTATTATTACCCGAAGGAACAATTTAGCCATTTACTTTTTAAAAATAATTTCATTCAAATGTTCGTGCATTCGGAAGGTTCGAAGTTGCATTTTGTTGATACGCGGTTTTCTGCTTTAAACGACAACATGTATAAACATGCATGTATGTATGTGCATGCATACGTACATATACAGGAAAAGAAGCATTTGCAATATTTAATGCCCAAATTTAAATAATAAATAATTCGAATACACAGATTATTCATCTTCATATTTGACTAGTCTTTCCAAATAATTTATTAATTAAGATCAACAGTAAATTTATATTTTACCTTGTGGTATGCGAATCAACCAGCAGCAAAAGCAGAAGCTGAAGTGTGCGAAAATGTTTACCTTGTGCATTGCAGAAGATACTTGCGATGTGAATGGGAGTTAACGAGGCGATTGATATATTGTTCATATTCATGTAAATCCGCCAGATATTTTTCGAAGAAAACGAAGGTTAACATGTTTCCAATTTTTTCAACATTTCAAGGTGAAAGAGGCAGTTTTAGTAAGATTTTCTTTAAATTTTTATTTTAAATCATTTTACCTAACATACATACATACATATATATGTATAAGACTTAATATTTGCTTAAAATATATGAAATGCAGGAATGGTGTTTTTAGTTAAGGTTATGGTTAAGGGATTCACTAACCGTCATAACAGATATATATACTGCGATCGTGGCATAAACCGCATGGCGGATACAAATATTTTGTGATTGTCGAGAATCGCTTTAACAATTTTTAATCCTTATAAAATTTATGACCCTAATTATGAGACATGAATGAATTAGTCTAAAAAATCAACTACTACAATACAATTACAATTAAGGTAATGAGGTTAAGGTGTGCAAATACTACTTATACATATAAATATGTCCGTTGCGTAAGAAGTACATATCGTTGTTGCCTTAACTTTTCGTTTTATCACACATTTTCGGACCATCACCTATGCAACTAGCGTAGGCCATCATGTGAGGTAGCAGATTTTGTTGCATGACGCCACAAAATAGGTGGTCCCATGGACCGGACGCATACACGCCCACATCGTCGCCACCATGAACGCCCACATCCTGTTTAATATAACTGGGTGCTACGAAGTCTGCAAGTGAATGAGAAATTTTATGAATTCGTATTAAAGATGTAAATGAGCTACAAATAGCTGATGAGAATGTGATTTGGATTTTTGTTAAAAAAATTTATGGTAATGACGATCCATCTCTTTTATCGATGTATGTAGGCCTGACTCAGGAAGACTGAGACATTCATTTTGAAGGCCGATTGCTAATGCGTAGCTGAAGAAATCTGATTTATTTGGGTTACACTATATTACTGAAGCGTAAAGAGCTCCATTAAATATGAACCGAACAGTGCTTTTGCAAAGCTTTTGCATAGAACAGTTCCAAACTGGTGTGCTACCTCATCGGCCTTTCACAGCAATTAACACAGCTTTTATTCTTACCTGGATTTTTCATTTTTCCTCTCAAATTTATCCTAGTTCCATCTGCATGCTGATACTGCTGCGGACCTACCGCATAATTCAATGTCGCATAGGGCACTCCATTCGAATCCTCACCCATCTCGTTCAAACCTAAAATATCAGTGCCCCTCTCCGGATATCCAGATATGCTCAAGGGATGGCCATGATCCGCTGTCACCACAATCAGCGTATCCGCCGGATCGGTCATGGCGCGCGCCAACTGAATGGCTTTATCGAATTCCAAAATTTCGTCCAAGGCAATGCCAAGCTTATTCTCGTGGTTTCCATAATCGATGAGACCGCCTTCGATGAAAATGAAATAGCCGTTATTATTCTTACTGAGAAATGAGAGCGCCACGCCAGTCATTTCAGCCAACGTTGGCTGATCGTCGTTCGCATGCAGATGGTACTGCATCAACTCCGATTGAAAGAGACCCATGATGTTGGACACTTGCGAGACATTCAGCCGCAGCAATTGGTCGCGGTTTTTCACAACAACGCCGTTGGGGTGCGAATTCTGCCAGCGTGCGAGTAAGTTTTTGCCATCCAACCGCTCGCCGGGATTGCCGAACAAATCCTTGACCGTGTTGGGCAGAAACTTGCCCATGCCGCCACCCATTAGCACATCCAAATTCTTACCCGGCTGCATTGTAACCAGCTGTTGCGCTATGTCCGGGCAGGTGGCAGGATCTTGGCCGTAAAATAGAACATCGGCGTCGCATTCCCACAAGCGGTTGGCAACGTGCGCATAGCCACCCGATGGACTGGCGTGTGTGAGTGAGGTGGTGGTGATGAAACCGGTGGATTTGCCCGCCGCCTGCGCCCAGCTGTAGATGGAGGTCAGGTGGTTGCTGGCATCCATGCTGGCCGTGCAGTTGTTGAAGTCTACGTTAGCATTCACGCCGAGCGTGAGCACGTTGGATTTGACGCCGCACATATAAGCGGTCGACGTGCAGGCTGAGTCGGGCACTTGAGCATTTGTGCAGTAGGTCTGGAGAGAAGGGGGAGTTGGCATGAAACTGTACCACCTGGCAAACCGAAAACCGAAATACTCACTCTGCTCAGCCCGGTATAGGGAAACTTTTCGAATGACAACAGCTGTTCTTCGCCCGTGAAGCCCACACGCTGCCCTTGAAGTATTCTCGCTGCTGTTATGGCAGTGAATGGCATGCCATCGCCGAGAAAGAAGATCACATTTTTCGCTTTATTCTTATTCACCCGTTTGCTCAGTCGCTTAGCCAACTCTTCTTTAGCCTGATCGCGCCAGAATTTCGGATCCAGTTCAGCCTTCGGCACCATGCGATTATTCAAAGCCATGCCGATGCCCATGTTGTTGGGATTGTCCCGCTGCAGCTTATTCACAACGTACGGTGCGTGTAAATCGGGCGCTGTAATGGAAAAAAAGAAAGTAGCAGACAAGTGTTCAGATTCTTTTAAAGTGAAGAAGAATGCAACGAACATTTGTTGAGCAAGGTCAATGCTTGCACCAGACATTGCGCCAACACGAGCGTCGCCAAAGTTTTGCCCTGCATATTTGTGTTATACCACTGTTAACTCAACAAGGCTCCTTGGCTAACGGCTGAATTTAAATGCTTGCAAAGTCGCAGACCAACAGTCTATTTATCGCTTCCCAGCCGAGGTAATCAGCTACCAGTAAAGCTGCTTTCACTCAAAATGTGTGGGATAAGGTTACATGATTTTACAATTGTATAACGTTGAGGCAGTTGTAGGTGCTTAGTTTGGCGTATTTACATACGATTATAAATAAATAAATTTTTATATATATACAAACATACGTACATATATATGTAGGTGTATGCAATGTTAATGCTTGTGTGAATGAGCATTTAATGGTTTACTTAGCTCATTCTTGCTTATCTTAAGATTATTTTAATATTAAAATAAACTTTGATGAAAGTATACATATGTAAATATGTATATATCGGAAGCTTAGAGAGAAAACTTGCCAAGTCCACTTCTTATGAAAGCCCACATTTTGATATAGGGAAAAAAACAAAACAAATTAAAAATGCATCCAAAAGGATTTAGCTGTGTACTTGTTTTATTTCTTTTTATTTATTCTCAAGGAAAGGCAAATTTGCTACTTAAATCCAACAGAGGCATGCAAAATTCGATAATGCCAAAATAATACGAAATTTTTTAATGAACATCAAATTTTTTTGATTCGCTTAGAAATTTTATTTGCTTAAAATACGCAAAATGTTGTATTCAAAGTTTTGCCAAATACTTGAAGAAGATGTCAATAAATAAATTTTTAAAAATGGACTTAGCAACTTTTCACCAGCACTTTTGCTGGCAAAGGGGAGAGGAGGTGCAATTATGACTCGTGAGCTATATATATATATATATATATCATCCACGTGCGCGACATCTTTGACTCCATCGCTGCTGAGTACTAGAATGGCGTTGTTTCATACGTAAAGCAGCAGCCACTTTGCGGAGCCACCGCATTGCTTTATTGAATTAGTGTTTACAGTCCTTGGCTAAAACTCGTTTGAAATCCATAGTTTAGATGGTATTTGTAAAAAAAGCAGAAATTCTTAAATTGCCTAGCTTTGAATGGATGTTCACTAATTTCGCGAATCTTTTCAGGACGACAGACTGATTGGCCTACTTAATATCTTTCGGCAATGTACTAGTTAATAAATATTTTCTCCATCACCCACCTTGGGGTTCATTACTTACTTTAATATTTTTCTAAATAGACAGAACACAGCTAAGCATTTGCCAGTGGGCTGTAGAAAAGCTTAAGTTAATTAGTTTGCACGCTGCTTTCTTGAGATTTGAGATTTTCTATCCCCATCACGGAGGATATTGCTTCCTGCCGAAGCTAATGGGACAATACCCCCTAGAGGATGATCCAATAGCGTTTTGTTTAAAGAGTAGTGGATTGTAGTATGGACTACGAAATGGGCAACTGTTCGTCGAAGTCATTTTTGAAACGTAGTTTTTGAGCCATGCGTTTGCTTAAGAGCTTGAGCAGAGTGTTGGGGCTAACAGAAGTCACCTGTTATCCAGCCAAGAATACATGAAGCTATTCGTCAACCAATTAACATAAATAAATTAAAAGAGAGAGAGCAAGTTCATATCGTTCAATGCAACATCGCAAGAGCGAACGAATCGCATGCAATATTTTTATCAATCTGTAAACTATCTGATAGAATTTAACAGACGTATGTAAACGAAAAGCTTTTGCTGCTTTCGATGAAAGTATAATCATACGTACGTACATATGTATGTATGCACATGTGCGCACATTTTCACATACTACGTACGATCGCTTTCGTATACACATACATATGTAGATATACGGTAACAAGTTCGCCGCCTGCACAACAGTTCACTTGCAGTCCGACCCATATGGTGGTAGTCACTGAAGCTTTCCGGCATTCGGCCAGCACAGGTCAATAATTTCTAATTTTAATCTAAGTAGCGGCAGTATAACGTAGTCAATCCGTCCGGCCAAAATGCTGCTGCACCAGCTGTTGCTCGCTGCAACATGCCGAGCGACGAATTGAGCCGGAAGTGGTACAGCTGTGGAGCGGAAATAACTATTTTGAAAAGTACAACAGGGTGCAAGTAATGCGTTGTCTAGAGAAGGCAGAGAGTGGAGGGAGGAACGGCACCAAGTTGATGAAATAACTATGAAATTTTGATACGCCAAGACAGGAGCAGAGGCGCGAATGAGAATTTTAGTTTTATTTTGATTGCCAGTAACTACACGGAATTTTTGATGAATGACATTTAGTTGCGCTTCGAGGACATACGCGCGGCCAACACGCGGACACCGAGTGCCAGCAGCGAATTAGTAAATACATAATGTTTTGTGGGCACACTCTTATGTACATACATGCATAAATATGTATGTAGTTACATGTGGGTGACAACAATGTAGTAAAATGCAGCAAAAATATATCGTATAAAGCATATATATGTATTATATGTATGTATGTATACATGCCCTTCGCTGCATTTGGGTTAAAAAAAAAAAAAATGTGGGTGTAGTTATTTGCACATATTTTTATTCGCTCGTAATCACATTTTTGGCTGCCACATCTGCGCTGGCAGGTGTGTCAATTAGTTACTACACGTATGCCAACATTTTTATGGCTCAGTGCCAGATTTGGATGTTGATTATAAAGTCAAATGTTCTCAGCTTTGAGGCTTCGGTGTTAATAAAAGTCAATCAAAAAGCGCTTTCGGCGGCGAAGCAGAGTCCAATTCATTTACTTTCACATATACATAAATATGCTAAATGTCAATTGCAGCGTTGCAATTCTAATTACAAGCCATACGCCTAGACATATAAACAAAAACTTATAGAGAAGTATTGCAAGTGCTTAGGTGAGATGATATAGGAAAACGCCCAAGGCTTATGCGCACCTCATTTGGGCAAAATTCCTGCAGTTAGCTAGCGGTGCTGATTTGACGCATTAAATTTCGTTGCATTCACACTGGGACTCTGATGGACTTTGAAACATGCATTCAGCCCTTTTTTGCATTCGATTTCTCAATAATCCTCTCTCTAATCTTACTCTCTCTACATATTATATGAAAGCCCGTACATTTTAATGGGAAGGAGATCATTTATATCTTTCAGGTTTGCAAGCTAAGGAAGCCATTCGACTCATTATTAATTTAGAAATAAACTTCAAAAAGTAAATCAAATGTGGTTTAACTTAATTGCGTATATCGTAAGAACCAATTCAAAAATCTTAATGTGAAATACGGCAAATGAAATTCTACATAGACCGTATATACTTACATCATTTTTCGATAGATCTGATAGTTTCTGACAAATTAATTAATCATTCCAGATTTTTAAATTTTTTTTTTATGAAAAAATTTATGAAAAAAAACCACTTTCATAGAAGAAAAATTAAAAAAATAACAGGTTCTGTTTCAAATTTTTACCTTTGTGCTAAAGCCTGTTCTGTTACAAAAAAAAAAATCAAGTTACTAATGAAGAAAATCGATGGATAAATAAAGAAGTAATGAGTGGTCAAATATTTTATAAAAAAATCTTTGCGCATTTTTTCAACGGCTTCAGTGCCAATCAAGAAGAAGACTAGGGCTCAATAGATTCTTAGGTTCATATGTACGTTTGTATATTAGAGCTATACATATTTTTTTCTCCAGTTGGCAGTTGCATTTCTGAATGCGTGAATCCACATGAAAGCAATATGTATGTATAATCATAATTTTACAAACAATCGTATATAGTTGCCCTTTCACGTCGTCTACACACACAAGGGAACATGTGTGTGAATGTGTATGTGCGAGGGCATTAAAGGCTCATAAAAGCAACGATTTATGCAAATATTTTTTGCACTGGCCAGTTTAGTAGTCAGCCGGTGGGTGGCCCGCAGCACATTGGCACATACATACATCCATATTTACCTTTGTTGTTTTATGCGCAGCTGTGTGTGTGTGTGTTCGTAAGATATGTTAGTAAATACCAACTGAGTGTGAATTTGCGCGCGAATGCGAGCCATAAAACTTTTTTTTTTTTAGCACAAAAATAAAAAAGAAAGTGTAAAAATGCACACTTTACATAAATGTGT